TTTTAACAATAAATATAACAATAAAAAATTACAGGAAGTATGATCCATAAATTGTCAGATATGTGTTAGACACTGATATTTTTGCATTTTCAGAATATCTGGGCTTGATTGATGCCAGCATGTTATGAGGTTATAACTGGTCGTTTTCTTGCTAAACTCCTCTGATGAGTTTAGAAATTGAAAGTACTGAATTGAGTAGTGGTACTATTTAATATGTTGATTCTAATTTCTAGCAGTAGGTGCAGAGTTTGAGACCTAATATGGTATTGTCTCCTGATATAAGGGGAACTGATTATTTCCAAACATCTCCCATAACAGACATACAAGGTGGACAATGTGAAAAGGTGTTATGTGGTCTATGAGCTTGTAACATGTCATTAATATTAATTTTATTAGCACCACTTTCAAACTGTTACAATTCAGAGAGAAAAGAGAAGTGGAAAGTGGAAACTGAGAGAAAATGAATATTACTGGTTTATCAATTAGCTCTATCCAATGTATGTTTAGGATTGGAAGAATGGTTTGCTTTGAAAACACCCTAGAAGAAACAAGAGACCAAATAATAAATTCAAATGTGTTGATTGGAGCAAATAAAGTGTTATAGGTAGTTGCTCCATATGGTATTTCATGGTGTCTTTGTCTTAGAAGGAATGCATCTTTAAAGGAAAACCATTTATCTCTAAACTTTCTTTGTTTGGGATTTGTTTGATTCCTTGGTTGCTCTTTGGTGCTTAACACATGGCTTTGTTAAGGGAATTTTGTGCCTTAAATATGCACAAGGGATTAGAGTGCTATCTTTTATAATTGAATGGAAGATATTGAGTAAAATGGATATGGCAAGACTAAATAAAACTTTAGGAGAAACAATGGAAAATGACTTTAGTCTAAATGGACTATTGAAATTTTGGTTTTTGATATTGCCTGATGGTGTCAGTTGCAAGGTAATCACATGTAATGAGATAAGGCTTGGTTATTTTTTATTCTTGTCTTATTTAAGGTCAAATTGCTGTTTATTGCTTATGTAATGGCTTAAAGTTGAACACAGTATGCCATGTCAGTTATAGTCCCACCCTTTTTTTGCAGAAAGGTTTCAAGGCAAGAATACTTGAAGAAAAGGGAGGAAAATAAATTAGAAGAACTAAGGTATGATACAACTTTATTTTTTTTTGTTTTCTCAAAGTTCTTTGTTTGATCTGATTTTTTGTCAATGAACATATTATAGTTTGATTTGATTACTATGCTGTTTGGTATGCTATTATATGTATACATATCTGTTCCTTAATTTATTGCTGAATTTAATAATTTATTGTGGTTACTGCAGAGATGATATAGAAGATGAGCAATATCTATTGGAAGGTGTAAAGCTTTCAGAAGTAAAATATCGTGAACTGAGGTAATCTATCTGTTCACTTATTTCTTGAGTTCCCCTTATTCAATTTGCCTTTTGTTACCATATGAGACATTTATTTATTTATTTTTTTATTAGTGACTGAATTATGTGAAGGAAATGCTACGCCCAACTTTGGTCACCACCACAGTCCTTGTATAGTAGCTTTTAAACTAAAGTCAAGCTGCTGATTTAGTTTTTTATTATTTTGTCTTGTTCAATCTGTTTGTTTTAGGAGAATATTTGTGAATTCTGTATTTGCGCATGGGAACTATAACCCTTCTATCATTATGCTATGTGTGGAGCCCCAATCACAAATATTAAAGATGTAGCTTCTGTTTCTTTAGCCAGGAAAAGTTTTATTTGTTTTGTTTATATCCCGCAGGTACAAGAAAGAGATATATGAACTTGTGAAGAAGCGGTCTGAGGAGGCTGACAATGTAAATGAGGTATGGTAATCGATAAGTTTGTATTCCATGAGTGTGAAATCCTAATTGGTTTATGTATCAATTGTTAATTATTGTCAAAATAAATTTTTTTATTTGTTAAGTTAAGCTGCTTGCCAGTTATTTCTTCCTTTTCTTTCTATTGATGATTACTAATTTATTGCCAAGACTTGAACTGTATAATGCAATCCTTCTTAGTTGCAATGGAAATTAGAGTAAAGATCTTTTATCTGACAGTATTTAATACATTAGGGATCTGGGCACTGACAAAGGGATTTGAGCATTGATAAGTTAAATTGATAGATCTATATATTTCTTATTCAATCTCTTACACATTCTCCTGAAATTGCAGTATAGAATGCCAGAAGCTTATGATCAGGAAGGTGTTAATCAGGAGAAGAGATTTTCTGTGGCTATGCAGCGTTACAGGTGTTTTCACTTAATACATGATCTCCACTAGTTGTAAAAATATAAAAAGGAAAAGAAACTGGAATCACTATTAGAGTATAGGATTTTCTCTTCTTTTCTATATTGATGTATTTTACTTTTTCCCTGTAACTGTTTTAAGTTATAACTGAAAGTGACACCTTTATTTATCTTATCATGTAAGCTAGGTTTGTGTATCTTATTTTACACTCTTCTGCAACTTTATATAGTTGCTCTCTCCTTATATTTCATTCATAACAGAATATAATCAATAATATTTTCTTGTATTCTCTCTGAAATTTCTCTAATAATCACATATACACTATTAGTCTATTCTCATAATACCAGTTATCTTGTATTTCCTCAAAATTTTATCTTGTGATTGTGTTGTGCATAAATTTCCAAAAGCACTTTTACTTAGTCAAAATCTTTTGTTTTGTTTATTCATAGAGATCCAAATGCTGAAGAAAAGATGAATCCATTTGCTGAACAAGAGGCCTGGGAGGAACATCAAATTTGTACACACTTTTATATTATTATACTTGTATAAAATCTCTCATTGTTAAGAAAGAAGTTCATATTCTTTATTTGTAATGGTATATTTCTGGATTCTGAATAATATCTTTCAGGAAAGGCAACTGTGTCTAAACCCAGCCAAATGTACCTTTGGTGTGGCTAGAGGGAAGTTTCTGGGGTTTATGCTTTCTAAAAGGGGAATACAGGCCAACCCAGACAAGTGTCAGGCCATCATCGACATGTGAAGTCCTCGAAACATAAAGGAAGTCCAACGGCTAGCAGGGAAGATTGCCTCGTTAGCTCGATTCCTACCTCGCATGGCCAACAAGTCTCATCCAATTATGACTTTATTAAAGAACGCTAGTAAATTTCAATGGACCGATGAATGCGAGTCAGCGTTCCAGCTTCACTCCCCAGCGCTAGTATTCTTAAACCACTTCTGGTTCTCCAAGTATTCTCGACCACTCCTGGCCTGCCAGCTTCACTCACCATCGCTAGTATTCTTAAACCATTTCTGGTTCTCCAAGTATTATGGACCAATCCTGGCCCATCATCTTCACTCACTAACGCAAGTATTTTCTTATCAGCCACTTCTGGCTAGCAGTGAGTATTCTTTGACAAGCCCCTCCGGGCTTTATAAGTATTCTTTTCCTAGCCTCTTAAGGCTTTACAACTGATAGATGTGTGGTCGGGTTCAAGTGTTTTGGGTTACTCTCACAGAGAGGATACATATATGATCTACACTCACTAAGGTTTTGCCTTCTAAGATGTACACATTTAGAATTCCTTAGTTTACAGAGAGAATTACACTAAGGCAGATTTGACTCTATTTGCTCTGTCTCTGATTTTGTTACTTCATGGACTGAATATAGCTCTTCTTCATGCTTGCACTATTTTGGACCAAATAACCAACTCTTTAAGGTTTGATGTTGAGGCTTATATAGTCTTGTGAAATTTGCCCGTTGCAATTGTTCGTTGAAGCACATATAGTCGTTTACGACTAGTTTGATCTTCTCATTTAATGCTCAGATTCTTGCATTAAATGTTGCTTCATGTTCATAGACAATGCGTGAAGTTTCCTTGCTCTGTTAGTAGCTGTGTCTGAATATAACAGAGTCCTAGGAAACTTTTGTCCTTTTCTAATCCTATAGCTGTGGAACTTTTGTCCTTGCCTAAAAAAGTGATTTACTTTTTCTGACATGCATGATTTAGCGTTTGAGCATGCTCTTTTTCTTTCTTCTTCTCTTCTAGTAATTCAAATAACTTCGTGTGTTCTTCTATGAGTATAGACGATATTCAAAATGTCTTTTGAAGCTTGATTTCTCAGGTGATTACGAGTCATTCTTCGTTTACGTCTGGTAGTTGACATTTAGTTTAATACTTCGACCTTTGTCTGATCATCAGTGTTTTGACTTTTCTTTTCGTCTTGGTCAACCTTGTATATGGTCAAACTTCCCATTTCTTCTGGAGTTTCTTCTTGGTCGTTTGACCATCTTCCGTCTGAGTCTTTATGTGCTGCCTTAGATTGTGCTTGGCATGGTCTTGTTCCTGATTTAACTTGTTGAGTGCTTATGTTGGCCTTTCATTTTGTATTTTCTGATGCTTATGCCTCTTCGTCATTTTACCTGTTCGTATGTCTTTCTGAAACACTAACTCACTTGTTAGAGATAACAACATATATTATATTTGTCTCACTCAAAACCTTTTTGGGAATCTCTTCGTTTGACTTAACAACATTGACGCGTTGGTAGATAAAGCGGCCGACCATCGCATTCTTAGCTTTCTCGATGCTTATTCCAACTATAATCAAATCCCCATGTACCCTCTTAATGAAGGAAAGACTGCATTCATTACTGACTCGGCCAATTTTTGCTATAAAGTCATGTCCTTCGGCCTGAAAAACGCCAGAGCAACATACCAATGACTCATGGACAATATCCTTCAAAGGCAAATTAGCACACGCCTAGACGTGTACGTAGACAACATGGTAGTGAAGTCCAACTCATACGTTGACCACACCAACGACCTCAAAGAAGTATTCAGTCAGATAAGAAAACACCGCATGTGTCTAAACCCAGCCAAATGTACCTTTGGTGTGGCTAGAGGGAAGTTTCTGGGGTTTATGCTTTCTAAAAGGGGAATACAGGCCAACCCAGACAAGTGTCAGGCCATCATCGACATGTGAAGTCCTCGAAACATAAAGGAAGTCCAACGGCTAGATGAAGAGATGGAAGATTCACTTGAAAAGTCCAGAGCAAAGCCAGCTTTGGAGGAACTACAGGTAGCATTTCAATATTTCACAAATGGCTTTATTAGTTCCTACTTCCCAGCACAGGTTGACGGGCACTAAATTGTGTTTAGAAAATCTTTTAATTGTGTCACTAAACCATATTCTTCTGTTATTAAAAGAAAGTGAAACATATTCTTCTAGTTTTAATTAATGATTGAGGCTACAAAAAATACAAGTGAAAGACTAAGATGCTGTTACACATTATTAGATGGCAACTGGAAAAATAAACTTGAGTCTGATATATATTAGTTTGGTATTGTTTGTTGCTGATGACATCTGTTGTTTTAATGGACTGTGTGTACTCCTTTTTCAGAGAAATTTTAAAAGAAATTCTAACAACTCAACCTGGTGTACACAGTCCATTAAAACAACAGATGTCATCAGATGATGACATCTGTTGTTTTAATAGACTGTTTGTACTCCATTTTCAGGAAATTTTATAAGAATCAATCAATTTTATGTTGCATGAATGTGCATTAAGACTTATGAAGTTGGGACTGTTACGCTCTAGTAAAAGATACCCAATTGTTTCTCATTTCATTTTTTGTTCTCTTTGTTTACCTCTCATAGGTTCTTCCTAGATGGGTTGTATACCATGAACTAGTACTCACAACCAAGGAATATATGAGACAGGTATTCCTAACTGTTAACTAAGTCAAATTTTTCATGACTTCTTGCAATGGATATCGGTCAATAGCTAAAATTGCATACTCAAATTGCAGGTGACAGAATTAAAGCCAGAGTGGTTGGTGGAAATTGCCCCCCACTATTACCAGCTTCAGGATGTTGAAGACTGTATGCTCTCTCTCCCTCTCTTAAATTGGCATTATATTTTTTTGCAAAGAGCCAACCGTTAAATTATAATATTTGAAATTTAACAGTTGCATTTCATTTTTCATTCCGCCTATTGATGGGAATTTTTTTTTTCTTCTCTTTGGTTTAAGGAATTTGATGGCTATAATTATAAATCCTTTGACAACATCTTACTGATCCTTCTGTTCACTTGATAGAATTCAGAGAAAAGTAAAACAGATTAATTGGAGAACATTGTAGTAGGATTTGTTATTCTTTTGACTTACCTATCTTGTGTAACTTAATAATGGATAGTTAATTAAATAATTGTTATACATCCCTTTCATAATTAGTCCGCTTGTAAGCGTTATTGTTATACCATGAGTTATCTATGGAACATGTAAAATCAGTAAATTCAAATTTAACTCAATAAGTGGAAAAAAGTGCAGTTGTCATGAACTTCTCAAGCGAGCTATCGGAAGACATTTTGGTGAAGCTGCAAATAGCATATTAATCAACTTCCAATTTGTTAATTGTTGTAACAAGAATATTTTGTTGATTTATGGCATGAACTTCAGATTAGATTATAGTTAGAACTTCAATTCTATTGATCTAATGAGTTGTTGAATTGAATTTTGTGGCAGCATCTTCGAAGAAATTGCCACGTGGACCAGGACGTGCTCAAGAGGATAGATAGCTGACACATCTTTATATATGCTTTGGCTGGTAAAAAAATAATGTACTGTAAATAATTTATAACTGTATATTTAGAGTATAGCATCCTATATCCTTACCTGTTGAAGTAACTTTCGCAGTTGCAGTTGCATGTGCATCCTTTGGTTGAGTGTTGATTTCACTTACCAACAAATTTTGTCATGTAGATATCAGTCTCATTCTTTTGTAATAAGTGACATCTAATTCAATTTTATTAGCACTGCTAGTTTAGTATTGTAAAAAATTTTTAGTGCAGTGCTTTAATGTAGAAAATATTCAGAGCAACTTGTATTTACTGCTCATGGTTGTACAGATTCATTGAATCTGGCATATGCCATTCAATAATCTCTTAAATTCGGTTTTTGGTATCTCAAATTTAAATTGTTTTGTTAATTTCTATAATTTTGAAAGGTCTATATATATATATATTATTTTATTTTTCTTTTAAAAAAAATACTACTCTATTACTAATCTTGTATTTTTACCATTAAAGAGCTAAAAAATTATAGAGTAAATAAAGATAAATTGAGATATTTCCATTCTTCTTCCAAAGTTAAGAGAGTGCGTTATTTATAATCGATAGCTACAGGTAGTCCTACAATTATTATCATCTAATATTTAGGGAGTTTGAAAATATAAACGGAATACATGATAATAATAACAATAATAATAATAATAATAATAATAATTTTTTAGATTTAAGTCATAGATACAAGATAATTTGACGAGCATATAAAAAAAAAAGGACATAGAAGAGACAATTTGAGCGGGAATTTAGTTGTTTAGGACTCATGTTTCATTTTGAATATTGCCTAAATGATCCTTAAAAATGACGTGTGTCACAAAAATAATATGGAGTATGTTTGCAATTTTCCTAGTCTAAAGACGTCAAAATGAATTATTCGTAAGAATGACATGAAACATTTTTCTTGCATCAAAATTTAACATGTTTAGTTAAATATTTTATTTACTTAAAATACTAACTATCAACATTACAATTGGTTATTATTTCAAATGAGTAACATAAAAGTATTTAAACTAAATTAAAAGTCATTAATTCAAGTACTTTGACATGTGTATTCTTTAATCAATAATTAAGTTTAATCTTCATCTTGAACATATAATTATGCTTCTTTATTAAGCAATTATTTTTTAAAATAATATATCAAAATATTTTTTTTACTGAAATTCTTATAAATCATCGTAAGTAGTGTTTTTCTTTTAAAAACAATTATACATACCCTTTGTGTATATTAAATTATTTATATTAAAAAATATTGTAAATAATTCGTAAGTAATGTTTTTCTTTAAAAATTAAAATACACGGATAACTTTTTGACCATTTTTGATAAATTATAATCTAAATATTAAAAGATAAAGTTAAAACAAATAATGAAGGTATTATCACAATTTTGGTAAGTTATTCAGTCTAGTTATTTTTTCTTTAAAAAATCACCTTTCCGTTATTATTATATATCAAAAAAAAGTTCTTTAATTTATAACTTTTCTCTAACTTACAAATATATTAATATTTCATAAATTTGCCTACTATCATAACTAAGAAATATATATAAAAAAAATATTATTCTTGCAAATTTACTATTTGCTTAACAAAAAAAAAATGTGTTAATTGAACCCATGACTGAGGATGGTAGGAAGAAAGAAAAGTCAAAGAAGTGTGTGCAAGTATATTATTTCCATAACACGAAAAGAAAAAAAAAATAGAGTAAAAGAGATGTGTGGGAGAATTTTTGTAAAAGAGTAGTTCAAATTCTTAACAAACAGTATTGAATGAAAGTCTAAACGAGAACTTGTTAAAGAATATTACGAATGACTACGTTATTACAAACCTAATCGTCGTGCTTCGGTTGTTTCTCCGGCTGTTCTTCCTGCCGCTTCCGCTTACGGTCTTCGATTGAGCCCGTCGCTCCGGTAGTGGAGTCCGCCTTAACGGTGGTTGAGTCCGCCTTAACGGTGGTTGAGCCCGTTGCAACAGTGGTGAAGCCCGTCGCAACAGTGGTTGAGCCTATCACTCCCATGTTTCCCCACATGTAGTAATCCGGGATTTTGATAGCCTTGGGCATCTTGATTTCCACGTCGGGGTAACCGTCGAGCAGATCCCGGCCGTATTGTTCGATGGTGGTACCCTCTAATTCCTCCGGCAAAACCTCCCGCCCAATGAGTAACTGGATTTGCTCCAGTGTGAGTGGCGGCCGCGCTTGGCTGCCAGAAGTGACTGAAGGATTTGATATTTCGAATGAACTGACCAAAACCTGTTCTAAATGATTAAAAAATTCATTTAAATAATAAAATATTAAATTAAATAATTATTTTATAATAAATTTATTATAAATATTAATATTTTAATTATTCGGAGACATTCGGAATTTACATAGGAGGGTATAGTACTCCTCTTTTTTAAAACTATATTCGGAATTTACATTGGAGGATATAGTACTCCTCTTTTTTTAAACTATATTTGTTTTCAATTTTGAAATATGATTGTAATTCTGTGAATCTTTTTTTTTAACATATTCAAGAATTGAATTTTTTTTTTATTAAATTCACTTATATGAAAATTATTAAATATAAAAAATATAATAAAAATTACATAAAAATAAGTATAAAAAAAAGTAACTAAAAAGTTTTATAAAAAAAATTAATTTGTTGTTATTTTCTAATTGTTCATAGGGATATATTTCATACATGTTTCACTATATTTATAATCTTTTTAAATTCAAATATTAATTAAATTTATAATTTTTATATGGACGAATTTAGTTTCACAAGTTTTACGTCTTAAAAACTCCCGCCCAATGAGTAACTGGATTTGCTCCAGTGTGAGTGGCGGCCGCGCTTGGCTGCCAGAAGTGACTGAAGGATTTGATATTTCGAATGAACTGACCAAAACCTGTTCTAAATGATTAAAAAATTCATTTAAATAATAAAATATTAAATTAAATAATTATTTTATAATAAATTTATTATAAATATTAATATTTTAATTATTCGGAGACATTCGGAATTTACATAGGAGGGTATAGTACTCCTCTTTTTTAAAACTATATTCGGAATTTACATTGGAGGATATAGTACTCCTCTTTTTTTAAACTATATTTGTTTTCAATTTTGAAATATGATTGTAATTCTGTGAATCTTTTTTTTTAACATATTCAAGAATTGAATTTTTTTTTTATTAAATTCACTTATATGAAAATTATTAAATATAAAAAATATAATAAAAATTACATAAAAATAAGTATAAAAAAAAGTAACTAAAAAGTTTTATAAAAAAAATTAATTTGTTGTTATTTTCTAATTGTTCATAGGGATATATTTCATACATGTTTCACTATATTTATAATCTTTTTAAATTCAAATATTAATTAAATTTATAATTTTTATATGGACGAATTTAGTTTCACAAGTTTTACGTCTTAAAAAAACAATAAAAATTGATTATTGTTTAAAAAGATCAAATCAATTAAAATATTAAAAAATAAGACACCGAAAAAAATATTTTAATAAATAAAGAATCAACAAAAATACAATTTAGTATTTTTTTTTTTGTAAATCAATGTATCTATTTGTTAAAAGGACTAATTCTTTACGGTATTGAATTTGATTTAACTACTATTAGCAAATAAAAATAAAAAAGATAAAATAATTTATGTACCGATTGTGTAAAATAATTTTACACTATCCAATCTTAGGTCATTTGTGATAAATTATTAACTTTTATGATAAATTGATAAATAAAAAAAATAAAATTAATTTCAATGGTAAAAATAGATTTGTTGATGGTATAAAATATTTTACATTTTCGGTGTATGATAGTATGATCATTAAACTCAAATAAAAAAAATACAAATTGAAAGAACGAACACTGTTTTTAGTAAAATAAAAAGTAATTAAATTATAAGTAAATTATACTTTTCTTTCTCAAAGATGTAAAAAATACTGGGATCGTTCTTTGCTTTGATTAGAATCTTATAGTCTTCGTTATAATTCATATTTATTAAAAAAAACAGGCTTAAATATATTTTTGTCCCTCAAATTTATAATAAGTTTATTTTTGATCCCTCAAATTTAAAATTGTTGTTTTTAATTCCTATAATTTCAAAAAAAAAATCTTATTTTAGTCCTTATATTCAAATTTTGTTAAGAATTTTATCAAATATTATTGTATAAAATCTACCTATTAGTGTCCTTATTAGTAAAAATATCATATTAAATCTGGTTGATATTGCAAAATTGTCTTAATTAGTCACTTTTAAATATGTTATTGATAACCTAAGCAACTAAAACAAGATTTTTTAAAATTATAGGAACTAAAAACAACAGTTTTAAATTTGAGGGACCAAAAACAAATTTGTCTTAAATTTGAGAAACTAAAAACATATTTAAGCCAAAAAAAATAACATGTAGGCTAATATTTGAACATTTATAACACACATGATAAATCTTATTTTATATAGTTAAAGTTTAAGTTTTTGAATTATATAGATTATACTATAATTAAAATTCATAAATATTTTTCAACATATAAATTGTATTTTAAATTTATATTAAAATACAGATTATTTTTAATTAATAATATTTATTAAAAAAACTAAAATTTAATTTAAAAGTAGAAATGAAAAAGATAAATTGAAAGGAATAAGAAACTTACATAATGTTTGGTTAGGGGATAATGGAGAGGAGAGAGAGATTATTAAAAAAAATCTTGTTTGGTTTAATTTTGAGTAGGGGAGCAAAATTCTTCCTCATCTAATTTTCACTCTCATCCAATATTAGGAGAATTTGGATGGAAGAAGAGAAATTTTAAAATATCTTTAATATAATATTCAAAATATTTTTACTTATGTTATAAAATTTAAAATTATGAGGTTATAAAAAAAAATTATTTTTTAAAATCTTTTTTCTCCTATTGTGAACTAAACAAGAAAAAAGTTATCTCATTTTTTCTCTTCTTCTCTTGGTCAAACAAAATTTTTAACTCCCCATTCCACTCCTTTGAACCAAATGGTTCTTTATAATAAAAATTCTTAAAAATTCTCATATATAATATTCTTTCTAATCTTATTGTAAGACACATTTTAAAAAGAATTAGTGATCTTTTTTATAGAAGACTTTACAATTCCTCTATAAAACATTAATTTTATAGAGATGTTAGGAACATATTCTCTAATTAGTTTAAATTTATAAAAAAAAAATACAAAAGTTGATGTGTCTTACATCCTATTTAATGAATCTTTATCCTAATTTTATGATTTTCAATAAATTTTAATCAATAAGAGAGAATATATTAGAAGGAGTGTAAAGAGAGTGTATTATTAGCGATCCTCCTAATTTTGGTTTTTATCTT